AGTTATGAACGCGATCGTCAACAGCAGCCGATGCCCGTCGTCTCAGACGAAGCAGCTCGTGTTACACCTAACGAAATTGGGGGGGAAGAAGGAGCAGAAAAAATTTCGCAGGTGCAAACGAAGAACGTCAGCGTTTTACAGAAACCGGCGTACAGATACTTGGATTCGCAGTCGCAGTACAGTACAGCGACAGTAAGATATCCGAACCAAAAACAGTTCGACAAGCTCTTACGTGTCCTCACCGAGAAAAATGGCGTGAAGCCATGGACAGAGAGCTAGCAGCTCTCAAGAGTCGCGGCACATGGGAGTTAATACCGACATCAGAAGTAAAAGGAAGAAAGGTACTTACCAGAAAGTGGGTCTTCCGTGTTAAGACTAATGTAGATGGGTCGTTTGAGAAATTCAAGGCGCGATGGGTCGTCCGCAGGTTCGAGCAGACTTACGGCATTGACTACGAGCTGACTTTTGATCCCGTCGGTCGACATACAAGTGTCCGCATTCTACTATGTGTCGCTGCCTGCCGCAATCTCCGACTTCGACAAATCAACGTGGCAAACGCATTTCTCTACGCACCCATCGACACACTCATCCTGGTAGAGTACCCGTACTCGAATACTACTAACCCACTGAGCGTATGCCATCTCAGAAAGTCGCTTTACGACATTAAACAGGCACCCCGGCTCTGGCAGCAGTATCTTCACTCACAGCTCATCACTGCTGGATTTCGGCAATTGCCGCATGATCAGGGGATGTATCTTCTAACTGACGGCAGCAACTATATTTTACTTGTCGCCTATGTCGATGATATTCTCTATGTCAGTACGACTGACTCGCTCGCCGATACCTTCATACTGAAACTACAGAAAAATCTACAGCTTACCGTCTCCGAAACAGTCTCACAGTTTCTCGGTCTAAACGTTACCTGCTCACCGACGTCTATTCACCTCACCGCTTCGAAGTACGCAGCCACACTTGCTGCCCGCTTCAACCTTACTCCTACTGCAGTCACTACACCGTACCGATCACTACCTACAGATCATAAACATAATACTACACCGTTGAGTCTAACCGATTTACAGGTTTATCAACAGCAGTTAGGCTGTTTACTCTTCGCCGCCGTTACTTGTCGTCCAGATCTAGCCTACGCTGCTAGTCAACTCGCTCAGTTCCTACGCCGTCCAGAAGAGGATCATCAACTCGATCTTCTCCGCGCGCTTCAGTACTTTATATCGACACCTAACGTCGGTTTAGTCTACAACGTCATCGGTTGTAAAACACTATACCTACACGGTTTCGTCGACGCCGATCACGATGCTGACTCTACTAATCGCCGATCGCGTACTGGATTTATCTACCGCCTTGAACCTATCGGGCCTATTTCTTGGAATTCGACCAAGCAGGAGCTGATTACTCTCTCCTCTGCTGAAGCTGAGTTTATCGTTGTTTGCACAGCAACACGCGAAGGCCTTTACCTACAAGAACTCTTGTAAGAAGCGAAGTTGACGACGAGTACACAGTTTACTCTACAATGCGACAACCAAAGTGCAATTCGCATCACGCACCAGCCTGGCTTCGTCAACAGGACGAAACATATTTCACTGCGTTACTTTTTCGTCAAGGATGAAGTCGAGAAGGGGAGAATGCGATTGGTCTATTGTTCGACCAACGAAATGGCTGCCGACTTCCTCACGAAGAAGCTGACACGACAGAAGTTTCCGTACTGTAACAAGCTTTGCGGGTCTTCAAGAAGTGACACTATCGAATTTCCAGAAATGAAGGGGAGCATGGCCTCAGATAGGATTTTAGGCATCCTGACCAATCAGGGCGGCCCCCCAAAAAAGCGTGCAGCAGTCAGGGTTGGTGGCTTATGTTCATACTGATTCCTCAGGGTGGTTCTCCAGCTCTATACTTTGGCCTCAGGGTAAATTTTGAAACGCTTGAAATCTCACAAGTCACTCTAAACAGCAGCAGCGGCACACTTGGCTTCACGCGTTGTGATGGGTTGAGGACTTAGCCGCGACTGGCCGAGTTTGCGTCAACTGTAGCGCACGAGGCAATCAGACCAGGAAAAATTTCTTTGTCTGACTATCAGACAGAATTTTGCTGAGACCGGATGGGCGTTTAGTTTAAAACGAATGCAGCCCCTGAAAATTCTGATGAATTCAAAGGCAAGAAACGAAAAGTTGCATGAAAAAAATGCAGTTGGATTTCCATCGAGCGGTTATGACGGCGTTTGACGAGGCGGGATGGTGAGGGCGCATTCCTCGCCTGTGGCACACTTTATGGCAAGTTCTTATGTTTCCCAATTCAACGTGCAGGATCGTCTGAATTTGTTTCAGGTAATCTTGACCGTGGAAAAACTCATAACAGTTAGCCACGAAGTATTCTGCCAAACGTGAGGAATAATCACTGAGTTGTAGTACTTGACAAGATTTTGATTCGACGTAACCTGGGCATCACGAATTCTATGAGGACTAAGCCAGAAATTCAGGGCTGCATAGAAGTTGTAGAAGTATATCTCTAGCATTCAGGACTTCGCTGAAATTTTAGAGCAGCGGGGGGGTTTCCGAGGATTGTCTCTAACTTTCAGGACTTAGCCTTTTTTTTATAGAAACGGGGGGTTTCAGAGGATTGTTGCTAACTTTGAGGACTTAGCCTAAATGTAAAATTCGAGGCAAGGGCTACCCTAGTGGCGCACGTGCATTCAAGATTCGAGGAATCAGGGTTATCCCCGAAGGCATACTGAGAGCTCAGGGCTGGTGCACGAACACTTTACTGAATCCTCAGGGTTGCACTATGATTTAAAACTGAATTCACAGGGTGAAAAATGACAAACGGATTTTTCAGGTTTCGCACCTAACAGGCATCATGAAAATAAGGAATTCGGGATAAAACATCTTGATATCTGAGGCCCTGAAGGGGAGTGTTGTGGTATAATACATACTTAGCATTTCTGTAAGTCGTTTATCGATAGATAGTGTCGAATTCTACTGTAGAAGATAAGTCCGTAGGATGACGTCAACAAATAGCGCTCGTCATGAGGACAGTCGTTTCAGTCACTCGAACAGTCGCATATCTTCGTTATCATCTAGGGCGCATAGCGCGATAGTGACGAACAGGTACATTAGCGAACAGGTACTTTCATAGAGCTATAAATCATTGTAGTGTCCTTTTATTATTAACCTTGAGATTTCACTTAGAAACTTAGGACACGAGCCTCTTAAACTTAGGAGGCTAGGTTGGCTAGGATACTAGGAAGGACGCCATGGAATGGCGTGAGGCAAGTAGATCTAGGGGTAGGCAAAAGTGACGAGAAAGAAGAGGCATGATTAGGAAGAGAGAGGAGTACAAGGAGGGGTTTGTACCCTCTACAGAAAGGTTCAGTAACAACCTACCAAGCCTATACAAAATTATAACTTATATAATTTTAACACACCCCCTAGGCTTGGTAGTCACACACCCACCCAACCCACCCCCTAACCCCGCACACCCTCAAGCTCGTGCTTAGCCGGGTATCTGACCCTCGTGCAAAGCATTGACACACCCCCGTACACGAGGCAGCCTACGGCGTCTGGGCGGGTCAGCGACAAGCAGCGGCGGAGCTCTGGCTCAAGGCGGCTGGGTCGCCGACAACAGGCGGCGACCGCCGCGGCTGAGGGCTCTCGGCGATGTGGCAACGTCCGGGCAGAAGACAGCAGCTGCGACAGGAGGAAGGGAAGACGCAGGGGGAAGGGAGAATGGGGGGGGGGGGGGGGGGGGGCGGGGCGTGTCTTCAGCGACGCGCCATAAATGGCGCGGCGCTTACTGGCGGGAGGACGTCGTCCTGAGGGACGCCCGTGGCTGGCGAGCGGGCGGCAGGCCCGGCGACGCCACAGACGTCGCTCGGCCGGCCGCTGCCCGACGATGCCGTCGGCTGCCGTAGACGCCGCCACAGCGCACCGTCAATGTCGCAGCGGCGAGGCGGACGGGCGACGGCTGCACCAAGGGGCCGTCGCGACACCTTGGCGCCGCGACGGTAGGCAACGAGAGGCCGTCGCGACATCTTGGTGCCGCGACGGCAGTCAACAAGGGGCCGTCGCGACATCCTGGCGCCGCGACGGCAGGCAACAAGGGGCCGTCGCGACATCTTAGTGCCGCGACGGCAGGCGGGCAGAAAACCGCGAAGGCTGCGAATGCAGCAGGAGTACGCAACGGGAACGTAGGGAGAGGGTCCGGTGGACACGACCGGCTCTGATACCATCTTAGAAACTTAGGACACGAGCCTCTTAAACTTAGGAGGCTAGGTTGGCTAGGATACTAGGAAGGACGCCATGGAATGGCGTGAGGCAAGTAGATCTAGGGGTAGGCAAAAGTGACGAGAAAGAAGAGGCATGATTAGGAAGAGAGAGGAGTACAAGGAGGGGTTTGTACCCTCTACAGAAAGGTTCAGTAACAACCTACCAAGCCTATATAAAATTATAACTTATATAATTTTAACAATTTCAACTTTGAGAACTTTGAGACTTGACTTCCACAAAACTATATACTCAGGTTCACTCTTACAAGACTTCCGCTGTCTTACTAGTCTACCATTCCAGTAAAGATCCTAGGCTAACACTTGAGGTTTTCCAAGTGTTTGTGTTTGCAGATTCTACACTTAGTCTCCTGCAACACCTGTCAAATTATTACAGCATGCGGTACAGAAATGCCATCTGATGGACCACTACACATGCCTTGGCCTTTTAAACTAGCAGCAACTTGTCTTGAAGATGACAAAGAAAGTGATGGAAAATATACTTCCCTTTCCTTTGCCTAGATCATGGCGATTTCCCGATATTCGTGGGATATATTTGGGTTATGATTGAGGTTTGAATATGCTTAGTGGTAATTTGTAGTGTATATATGGAGTTTCATTCTGTAACCGACTGCTGTCTCCACCTACCGAGAGCAGCTTGCAACTATGGGCTAGTGGCGGGTGTGATTGAAGCCATCCCAACCAGCCTCAGCTACCAGCCTTGTTCACTTGGAGCTGGGCGCTCGCTTGACTGCTTTATGTGTCACCAGATTCCCATCGGATGCCGGTACTACCGTGTCACGTCTCACCGCTTACCGCTCACCGCCTCTCCCGTTCGGTCACACTCACATTCATACTCACACTCACACGCACACCGACAAAAGCACTCCTTTCTCTTCTCCAATTCCTCCGACCTTGGCGCGCACGTCCCGCCATGCCGCGCTCGGCCTGTCCGCCCTGCATCAGCGCCTGACGCCGCGTGGCGTAGCGCAAGAAGAGCGCGCCGAGGGGCAGCTTAGGGCACCACGGAGTGCGGATCGGGCAGAGGGACCACTGCCGTGCGGATCGGTACTGAGCGGTGGAGGGTTGGAGGAGAGGGGCAGGAAGAATCGGGAGGGAAAGAGGGAGGGAGGGAAAGGGAGGGAGGAGGACGGCACGGGACGCGGGAGGAATTAAGGCGGGTGGGACGGTGGGAGGGGGAGAGGAGGCGGAGGAGCGAGGCAGGAGGCCGTGAATCAAAGCTGATCGCTTGACTCCCCGGGTGCTGTGGTGCAAAGCGGTCGCCATGAATTACAAGGGCCTCCTCGTGGCCGCCTTCTATGGTAACGACGCTCCCCTGCTGTCGCCCCGCCTGCCCCCCCCCCCCCCCCCCCCCCCCTCATGCCTTCCCCCCTCCCATGCCATGCGCCCCGTGTGCCCACTCGCCATGTCTGCCGCCTGTGCTTGGCTGCTCTCCGCAGTGCATGCTACGCCATGGCACCCTCGCCGCATCATGCCAGCCATGCCATGCACCACACATCACTACCCCCCCCATGTGGTCACCCAACCCATGCCCCCCTCCCCTCCTCCGTTTTCCAATCCCCCTCATCTCTCTCTCCTCTCTGCTCCCCCTCCCCCCCCCTCCCCCCCCCTCCCCCTCTTGTTGTGGGCAGGCGTGATGTCGGTGGCGGCGGTGTTCATCAACAAGGCCATCTTCCACGTGTACCGCTTCTCCTTCCCCTACACGCTCGTCTTCTTCCAGACGCTCTTCACGCTCGCGCTCCTTGCCCTCATGCGCCTCTCTCGCACCATCCGCCTCGCGCCCTTCCGCCTCCACGTGCTCCGCCGGGTACGCGGCTGGGGGCATCCGGGGGTGGGGGTGCTTGGGGTAGTGGGTGGGGGCAGGCGACCTCGGGGTGGGGGGTGGGGGGTGGGGGTAGGGGGCAGGTGGGGAGGAAGAGGGCGGTTGGAAGGGAGAGGGCATGAATCACTGTGGGATTGAGGGAGATGGCAGGCAAGTGTGACAGATAAGGGAGGAACAGAGGGCAGAGAAAATCAGGGGTGGAGGAGGAACGGAGGGTGGGGTGCTGATTTGGGCATGGTGTCCTGTGCCACTAACTGCCGTGCTTCTCTCCTGCCAAGCCATCATGCCGTCATGCCGTCATGCCATCATGCCATCATGCCATCATGCCGTCATGCCGTCATGCCGTCATGCCGTCATGCCATCATGCCATCATGCCGTCATGCCGTCATGCCGTCATGCCATCATGCCATCATGCCGTCATGCCGTCATGCCGTCATGCCATCATGCCGTCATGCCATCATGCCATCATGCCGTCATGCCGTCATGCCTCTAGATTGCATCCCCCTCACACCTTCTACCTCCATCACCCTCTCTTCCCCCCCGCACTGCAGGTATCGCTGCTGTCGTTCGCCTTCCTGCTGAAGCTGCTGCTGGACATGGCGGCGCTGTCGCGGGTGAACATCCCCATGTACGGCGTGCTCAAGTCCGCCACCACGCCCTTCGTGCTGCTGCTCGACTTCCTGCTGCGCGCCAAGAGCGCCTCGCTGCGCATCCAGCTGTCCGTCTACATGACCGCGCTGGGCGGCGTCATAGCGGGGCTGGGCGACCTCACGTTCGACCCCGCGGGGTACGTGCTGGCGCTGTCGTCGGCGCTGGCGACGGCGGCGTACGTGGTGATCGTGGGGAAGCTGGGCGAGGAGCTGCAGGTGGACTCGTTCACGCTGCTGCTCTACAACAACTGCTGGTCGCTGCCCTTCTCCTTCCTGCTGCTCGCCCTCAACGGCGAGCTACCCGCCGTGCAGCGCGTGCTGCACTCGCGCGACACCATGTTCCTCATCTGCTTCGTGCTGTCGTGTGCCTCCGCCTTCATCCTCAACCTCGCCACGTACCTCTGCACGCTCATCAACGACAGCCTCACCACCAGCATCGTCGGTCAGTGGCCCCCTCCCACCCTGCCCCTTCACTGCTGTGCCTACCGTGATCTTGAAGGACTCGTTGCCGTGACACGTCATGTCACCAGGCGCCATCTCCATGGCCATGCTGTGTGCTCCTCCTCTCCACCCCGCCCCCATCACCTGCAGGTCGCACCAAGTCCATCCTCCAGGGTTTCGGCGGCCTTTTTGCCTTCGGGGATGTGCTGGTGAGTGCCCTGCTCCCATGCCCCATGTGAGTGCTCTGCTCCCATGCCCCATGTGAGTTCCTCCCCCCCTTATGCCCGCCCCTGTGCCCCCCATATTCCCATGCCCCATATAGCTGCCTCGTCTAGTGTCTCACTTGGTCGTTCTGCCAGCCTTGAGTGTCTTCTGTCCTCGGCGCATGGCATTCACCCGCACCGCCTCCACACACTGCCCGTCCCCCTCCTCCCTCTCCATCCCCTCCGCTCCCCCCACCCCCAGGTGAGTCCGACAAACCTGGTGGGGCTGCTGGTGAACAGCGGTGGCATTGGGTGGTATGCGGTGGAGAAGTACAAGGAGGCGCGGCGGCGGTCGCAGCACATGTTGTCGCCGGGGCGGGCGGGGCACGCCATGGACGCCAAGGCCACCATCACCAGGGACGGCTCGCAGGTCAGTGGAGAAGGGGGGGAGGGGGAGGGAGGAGAGGTGGAGGGAGGGGGCATTGTGCAGAGATGGTAGCTTTGGTTTTGGCCTGGTAGTGCTGGTAGTGCTGGTAGTGCTGGTAGTGCTGGTGGTGGCATGTGACGTCCAAACATCTCTCCGTGTCTCCCTCTCTCTCCCCTCTCAACCCCTGTTGGTGTGCACCCATCGCCATCGCCATCCCCATCAGCTGTCCCTCGTGTTCAACGAGGTGAAGACGGAAGATGCCGACCAACCAGACACTCGCAACGGCTCAGTCTGAAAGCCCTCAGCAACCATGGTTGGGATTGGGATGTCTTCAAGCATGTGTGCCATCATGCTCAGTGTTTCCGTGCTGTCAATGACTCGGTTGCATTGCAACCGCCTCCTGCCCAACCGCCTAGTGAACAGCCTCCTTCAGTCTTCCCCAGCAGCTGCATCTTGTCAGCAATGGATGCAGCGTCAGAATGCTATTGCAGTGTGTATGAAATGGTCGCATTTCCAATTAAATATGAGATAATAGCACACATACCACTGTGTCCCAGCTCCCTTTTGTTTAGAAGAGAGTTTGAATGACACTCATGGTGGCATCGCAACAATCATTCACCTTTCTGTAGTCTCAGCTATGGGCTCAAGTGCCCCATAAGTCAAGGCCTCAAATCATTTATGCCCACTACCCTTGATCTTCTTTCTCGGCTGTGCACCTACCCCCTCTCCGCCCGGTCTCTTGCCACCGGGGCGGGTGACTGCGTGGTGGCGGGGCGAGAGGTCGGAGAGGGCGAGGCAGGTGAGGCGGGCGTTGGTGAGCACCTGGGAGAGGCAGGCAGCAGGGAGAGCTGGGGGTGCCTTGGGCGCAGTGGCGTGCGGGTGTGGGGAGGATGAGAGGCGGCGCAGGTCCCACAGGCGGATGCACCCGTCTGAAGCGGCTGACACCACCACATGCTCACTCCACTGCGCCGCTGCCTCACCACCACTGCTCGCTCCACCCCTTTTCTTCCTTCTCCCACCACCCGCCCCCTCCTCCTCGCCTCCTTCATCACCGCCATCCCCTTCTCCATCGCCCCCAGCCTCCCCAGCGCTCCCAGCTGTCAGCCCTGCCCTACCCGCCGCAGCCAGCTCATTCCCCTCATCACCATCCGCCCCTCCGCCCCCCTGCCCTGCCGCCAGCACCCCCAGCACGCCTCTGATGCGCGCGCTGTGAGCGCCCGCCACACTCACTGCGGGCTTGTGGGCCTGGCGCACGTCCCACACCCTGATGGCCCTCTCCTCGCCGCCCGTCACCACAACATGTGGCTGCAGGGGGCACCGCCGCAGGTCAAGAAACAGGGACGCTTGGGTTATAAAACGGATAATCAACACATCCATTGGACGCGTAGACAGATGAATGAGGCGATAGTTAGTGGGCTGCAGCAAGGGGACGCACAGGGTGGGGAGGCACAGGGTGGGGAGGCACAGGGTGGGCAAGCAGGCAAGCAGGCTCACAGTGAGGAAGGAGAGCGCGAGGCAGGAGCCGTCGTGCGGCAGGGTGGCAATGAGTGAGGCGTCGGCAGAGCAGTGCACGGCGACGTGGCCGCCGCGCAGCGCCATGGCGTAGATGGCAGCGTCCCCCGGCGAGTAGGTAAGCGCGAGGGGCTCGGCAGGCGTGCGCGTGCGGAAGGAGCAGCGCGCCTGCAGCAGATTCCACAGGCGCAGCTCCGAGTCACGCGCCACCGACAGCGCCACCCGGCCAGATGGGTGCACTGGCTCCCAGGGAGGGGGGAAAGGGGGGGAATGAAAGGAGACAGGGAGAAGGAAAGTCAAGAGAAGGGAGGGAGGGAGAAGCAGCGTGAGGAGGATGGAGCAAGGGGTGGAAGCGGGAACGCACTAGACAGCAACAACCCACAGCACACACCTGCGAGATCATTGACAGGCGCCTTGTGGCCCTTTAGGCTTGAGAGATGCCGCCACGTGGCGACCTCCCATAGGCTGATGGTGTGATCTTCACTGCCCGCCACCAGGTGAGTGGGTCGATTGCCGCTGCCGTGCAGCTGCAGGGGGCACGGGCGGGTGGCATGGCATGCACGCAAGGAACGGCAGAGAGCATGGGCGCTTGGACGCCAAGTCCCCGGCAAGCTGAGTGCGGCAAGACATCAAGCGCCACTCCTCCACGTGGCACAAGAGGCCTTAAAGGGGGGGAAGAGGGGGGGGGAGCACGCTGCACTGGCCTTGTGACACTTGAGTGTGCTCCAGCTGGGCACTGCTTGGAGTGTAGCGCTCAGCAGCGCCACAACACACAACGGGGGCGCCTTCATCCCAGGCATGGCAGAGTACCCGCCGTGCATTCAGCGCCGTGCTCTCCTCCTCAATCTCGCTCGCTCTTCCTTTCCCGCATCCTCGCCCTCACCCTCTCGCCCATGCCTGCCTCTCGCCCATGCCCTTCCGCGGCACTCACGGCAAGGCACGAGATGCCAGCGCTGTGGTGCAGGAGCGCGCCCATGTCGGTGCGCGTGCTCAGGTCGTACACGCGCACGCTGTCGTCCGCGCCGCCGCTCACCGCCACTCGGCCCGCTGCCGCCACGCACTTGATGGGGCCCGTGTGCCCGCCGTAGCAGAACTGCTGCCGCAGCGCCGCCTCCCCGCCGCCCTCGCCCCGCCCCCCCTGCTCCCTCTCCTCTTCCCCACTTCCTCCCCCCTCCCCGTCCGCGCCACTGCATGCCGCTGGTGGCAGCGCACCCCCACTGAAAGGGAGGAGGGGGAGAAAGAGAGCGCGGGAGGGCGTGCGGGAGGGCACAGGGAACTAGCGGGGTTCTGGGCACACGCGGTGGGTCGAGAGGCCACATGGGGGGTTCAGGTTGCATTCGCGGGGTTGGGGGTGTAAGCACAGAGGGGGACGAGGCGGGTTCAGCGGTGCATGGGAGAGGAGGGTTGGGGGTGTGAGGCAGGGGAGAGCGCACGTGTGGGGGGGCGGGTGGAGGCGGAAGCCGAAGAGGAAGCGCTCGTACGACCCCGCGATGAGCCGCAGCCCACCGCTGCTGTCGCCCTCCGCGTCGCCTGCGCCGCCCCGCATGGCTCAGAGGTGCGCACCGCGACCAATTCAGACCGCAAGCGGGCCACGACTTGGACAGCAGGGCGGGACGAGTTCGACGGCAGAGCGGAGCAATTTGACGGCGGATCGGGGCGATTACGACGGCTGTTGAAACGGGACGGAAGAGCTGGGGGTGTGATGTGCTGTGCCGAATATGCAAAGTGGGTTCCCGAGTTACACCAGCCCAGCGAAGAATGACCACCGACAAATTCGAGCGCTTGTTAGAAGCACGACCAGTAATCTAGTCATGGTTTACATACACCGGGTGCGCACCGACGGCTCACGATTTGGACGAACCGTGTGGGCGTAATGCGCACACGTATCTCGCGAGCCTTCGCCACGGGAGAATGGTCCATTGAGTGGACACAGATAGTTTCGCGAAAACAAAAACCTGGTGTCAGATGTTGTGACATGCAAAGGGAAACCCTCAAAAGTACGCCCTACAAAAAATGTAGGATTTACAATAAGTTGCACCACGATTATGCACGGTTATTGTTATGAATTATCCCTCAGAGTGTAGCGAAGTATTCAATAAGGGGAACACGATTACAGAGTTATGATAGAAATGAGGCCTAGGCAATATATAGGGCAATTGACCAAGGTTGAAAGTCGAGGGTTGGACCAGTCAACGGCTCGATAGTCCCGAGGGTGACAGGGTCAAAATGGGTTCGGGGCGACTCGGGCTGAGGTTGGGGCCGATGAGGTCGACGGGGGCTGGTTTGGCGCGAGAACCAAGGGCCGAGCCTGCGGACCCGAGACGTTCACGTGTACTCGCTGTGGCGAGCCCCAATAAGGAGTCGTAATTCCTTACTCTCTCCCACCTTCTAAAGGAAGGCACTCCCTTTATCAAGGCCGAGCAGTTATTACAAGTGCCGTAATCCCCCGGATATAGGCGCATATGTGCTTATAGGGATTAGGTTTGAAAAGCCACATGCACTTGTAATCAAATAAAAATTATAAGCACATGCGCTTAAAAAAAGGATTTTACAGAATCATTATTTGAGTACATCAAAATGTAGCCCTTGAGTTTTACTATTGTTTGGCAATCTCTCTGAAAGGGGTCGCATGGAGAATCTGCATGTAAACAGCTCTGTAAGGTTCAGGCCCGCCAGCCAAGTAGAGTTGGTTCTTAGCGGCCCAATTGGAAGGTTTTGCGGAGCCCTGCTGTGCCAGTATCATGCTGGCTGGGGTTGTGAGCGGCAGGGCACATGCAAATCCGCGTCCGAGAGCCAGCCTGTTAGCATAATCGATGCACAACGCCAGGCAGGATGGCGAAGAGGACCCAGTGGCAAAGATTCCTTTGCCACTTGGTCCTCTTCGAGGCCATCCTATGCTCTGGCAGATTCCCTCGAAGAGGAATTCGGGTCGCCTTCTGAAAGGGGGTCCTGGCTCAGAGTGTCAATTCTTCATTATTTCTATCCAACTTCGATTGCTTCCACTCACGTTCCCCCTTAGTTGCGGAAGCCATGGCCGGACTACCTGTGTCTGCCATGGCTGTACTGTTCGGGCGACCTGGCGAGCCCACCCATGTTCGACGGGTTGGCGTCTCGTCAGACTGGTTCACCGTACCATCTCATGAACCACCGCCTGCAGATCCTCCTCCTGAATCCCCTCCAGCTTCTACTCACGATGAACCTGAGGCGCCCCCTGCCATGTCATCTGACGGCTTGCCTATCCTCACCCTACTCCTCCCTCCCCCCCCTGTGCCTGCAAACAACGAAGAAGATGGCGGCGATGGGACCGATGTCGAGGAGGTTGATGGTGGGGAATCCCCGACGCTCGAGAGTGGGAAGAACCTGGTGTTGGCGGTGACGACGAGGCGGAGTATTGGTCTCGTGATGGTTTACCTGAAGAGCTACCGATTCCAACGTTCTCGCCATTCAAGAAGACGAAACCGCACCCGTCTGAGCAAAACCGTGACGCCCGTCCCCCCTCTACCCGCAACCGTCCAACCAAGCGCCAGAGGCACTCGTACACGGCAAAGGAGAAGCTGCAATGGATTGCTCGCCTCGCCGAGGTGAAGTGAGTGACGACCGTTTCGAAGGAGTCCGGGATTTCAAGGAAATCCCTTGCCACATGGGTGCCGAAGGAGAAAGTGTTGTCGGGAGCTGCACCATGTCGGAAACGCCTTCATGGTCATGGACGCTCCTCGTGGTACAAGGACATGGAGATGGAGGTTTATTCGCGGGTGCTTGCAGCGCGTGAACTTGGACACGCCGTGCCGGTCAGCAGACTGCAGACGTGGTCGCGGGATCTGATGCGACAGATGCATCCGACGGTAAAGTGGATGGGGTCGTACCGCTGGTTAGAGCGCTTTCACCGCAAGTGGAACCTCAGCATGCAAGCTCGAACCAAAGTCGGCCAGAAGCTCTCGGACCGTAAGTTGTGCTTTCACTTACTTTGCTTTCCTGTTGTAATCGTATCATGATGTCTTGCACGTAATGCCTCTGTGCTCTTACGCCTTCCATTTCTATGAATTTACCTAAGATTTGAATATGTTTTTATACACCCCAGAGTGTGAGGAGCAGGTGCTGAAGTTCTGGAAGTTCGTCAGGGATTCGCGACGAATCTACGGCATCGATACGCGATGGATTATCAACGCGGACCAGACGCCGTTGTGGCTGGAGATGCCAGTGGAGCACACCGTTGACAAGATAGGCACCAACACTGTGACCATCCGGAGCGCGGGGTATCAAAAGGAACGTGTCACGGTGATGCTGGCATGCACCGCGACCGGGGAGAAACTCAAGCCCTGGATGCTCTTCAAACGGGCGACGATACCCAAGGGCGATTTCCCGTCTGGTGAGTTTGCACACTTGTCAATTGAATTAAATTGGGCGTGCTTCAATCTGTGCGCCTACAAAATTTCACTTTGTTTTACGAGCTAACACGAATGGTATCTTTTATGTGTGGCAGATGTCATTGTCGCGGCTCAACCAAACGGCTGGATGGACTCTGCTGGAGTCGTCCAGTGGCTGGATGAGGCAGTGAAGCCGTTCATCCAGCTAAGATTCGGCTTGCGCGCGCACTCAGCTCTCCTCATCCTCGACTCGTATCGCGGCCACCTGACTGAAGAGGTCAAAGACAAGTATGCTGAGCTCCGCACCGTGCCCGGCGTCATCCCAGGAGGCTGCACAGCAGAGGTGCAGCCGCTCGACATCTCTGTCAACCGATCGTTCAAGGCTTCAGTTCGGCAGCAGTACCAAGAGTGGTTTCAGTCCGAGGGTTGTAATCTTCTCATGGCGAAGGGTGAGTGCGTGGTCCTATGGTATTCTGTGTTTGCTTCTATGTTTGTTTCTCAGTACCCTCTCATTGATACTAACCCAATCATTCTGTTAATCGCACGCAACTTGAAGAAGCCCCCTCCAGAGCAGACCTTGAGGTGGGTCTCCAACGCCTGGAAGGCGGTGCCTGCCACCCTCATCCAGAAGGCATTCCTCACCTGCGGCATCAGCAATGCGTTAGACGGTAGTGAAGACTACCTGTGCATGCAGCACAGGAGGACCAGAGAGAAGGCAAAAAAGGCAGAGGTGGAGTGCACTGATGATCCAGCTGCTGATGGGTTCTTTGCTGACAACGAGGTAGCGCCCGCGGGCGAGTTTGATGGAGACGAGGCTGAGCCCGTGGCGGCAGAGTAGGTTAGGCTTGTGAGAGTACGACCCCGTTACACCACTTGGCCTTTTTCCTTCCTATTTCATTTCTCTTTTATTCCATCTCAATTGGTTTCCTATTCTTCCTTTTCCATTAACCTTTGGTTTATCCTGCTATTATCATTATATCACCGACCAGGCTTGGGATGTACTGGGCGCTATATCTAGCGTAATCCTGCCGTAATCCCTTAAAGCCAATAGCCTCGCGTGGCTATACGCAGGGTGATTCTATCTTCTAGAAGGGTCTATTCCCTTAGGATAAGATAAACATGGTTACCTGATGTACTCTGGAAGTATAAAAGTGCCTTGTACTAATCGATAGTGCAATCTTTCCTCGACACATTTGATCCTGTGACACTTGGTAATCAGAACTTTTCTCACACGGCCGCGCTCAACAAAACAGCAGCAGCGGGAAAACCTGCCTCGAAAAACCGCCGGGGGCGACCAATTCGACGCCGATTCCGGTAAGCACCAGCTCCGCGATTTTCGAATTACCCCCTCCGTGCGTGTTTTGAACAGGATGGCAACCTTCGACAACACCGAGGTTACCCAGCAGCTCTTCGCGCGCATCGCCGCCCTTCAGGAGGAAATGCGAGCGGATCGCGAAGCGTGGCGAAACGAGTTCGAGCGAGTAACTCGACTCGCCGGAGCGCAGCACGAGACGACAACGGCGACGACGCAGCAGTCGCAGCAGTTTCTTGAGGCTCCGAAACCGCGCCCACCAGAGCCGTTCGATCCGAGCGATCGAAACTCCGACGCCCGCAGATGGATCGCCGGGATGGAGATCTACTTCGCAGCCGTCGGATGGAGCTCGCCAGTCTGGGACGGTCAACGTGTATGACTCGCGGCGACACTGATGCGAGGGCCGGCACTCGAGTGGATTGGCGGCAACAGTACCTTCATCCACGGTGAAGCCACGTGGCAGCAGTTCCGCGCTGACCTACTGAAACGCTTCGAGCCGATAAATTCCAGTTTCCTTGCCCGGGAAAAAAATCATCGACACCGACAGTTCGGGAGTGTAGCGCAGTACACGCAGCAGATGGAGAAATTTTATAACCGCATTCCCGACCTGACCGAAGGGGAAAAAGTACAATCGTACCTCGCCGGGCTGAAGACCGAAGTCAAACGACAAGTCGCAGCGTCAAACTACGCGAGCTACAGTGACGTCGTTTCGGCCGCGGAGCGCTTCGACATGGTCAACGCCGGAACACGACGGACGCACGTCGGCAGTACGCGACAGGGCGACCGCTCGGCTCACCCCACGTTCGCCGACCCGATGGAAGTCGACAGATTCGAGGGGCGGCCACGTCCGAAAAACACCAATTATACGTGTGATTTTTGCGGGGTGCCGGGTCATCGAATCTTCGACTGCAACAAAATGAAAGCCGCATGCGCAAAGTATCGGGCACGCAACAGTGGCGGAATTCCTTCAGCCAATCAGAAGCCAAAAAACGGGAGTCGCCAGTAATTGCGGATCTAGCTGGCGAAAATAAAAAGATCCGAAAGAGGCCGCGGGATTCCGGCAGAATCAACTTTGACGAAGCTGATTCGACGCGAGAAGGGGGAAATGATGGGGGAAAATCTCCACCCCACGACCAGTCTTCGCCAGGGAAAATCGCCGAGGAAAAATACGACTCCGCGAAAAAAGACTCTGCCGAGACAGGGAAACTCCTTGAAGACCCAAGAAATTATAAGAATTCGTTAAAGTTATCTTATAAAGATACTTTAATGAAAACTTATGATTTTCGAGGAGCTAGAGCCTTGGAGAAATTTCGGGAGGGACTCCAAAAGAAGCAGACAGCTGTGGAGGTTATACCGGTACCGGACAACTTGGGGAAAAAATTAAGGAGTGTGGAAAGAAGCCGACCTTTCCACGGAGTCAATGTCCTCTCCCGACACCAGCCCACATCGACTACCCGTTCCCCAGGGAAGACGTCAGTGGAGCTGAAGCAGCTTAAAAGGAAGCTGGGGGTCTACAAGAAGCTGCAAAAACCCCGAACTCCTTCTACGGATGCATCCAATTCTTCGGCATCAACGACACGCACAGTCGTCAAGGAAACTCCGGGCCCTGGAGAAGAGCCGTTCTCCAAGCAGCCTCGGCCAGCTGCTAGCTCAGGAGCAGATAGCAACGAAAAGGTGTGTACGGATTATTGGGATGTACCCTATGACCCAATCAATGAAACTATGTTTGGGTACTCCGAGCAACGATTGCCCCTCGTGCTCGAGGTCATCTGCAAAGGACGACGCCTCCAAGCACTCGTGGACAGCGGAGCATCACACACCGTCTGCGACAAGGCAGTAATCGACCGACTTCGGGAAGAGTACAAGCCTTCAGGATTCTCTGCAACGATGGTGGATGGCAGCAAGTTACCAGTACACGGCGAAGCAGTGCTACACCTACAAATTGGACCACTGCGCTGGAGACCTGCACTTCCCATCACCAACATCAAAGAGCTTGACCTGATCTTCGGGCTAGACTTCCTAAAAAGATTCAACCCCGAGATCAACTGGGTGAACCGCACCGCAAGCATCTACAACAATGGACGGAGAGTACAGCTACCCAACTGGGACGATACAGGAGATATCCCAGTGGAGACACTCGCACGATTTGAGAAGGATGTGAAGCGAACCGACACAGGGTTCCTAGCAATAGCAACAGAGGCGGAGAACGACAGGGAGAGAACCTCAGAACCTCCAGGAAAGATCAAGGAATTATTGAAGGAGTTCCAAGATATTCTTCCGGACGATCTTCCGAATGAGCAACCGCCATACCGAACGCATCAACACGAGATCGTGGAGGAACCGGGTTCGAAGCCGACCTTCCGAGCACCATATCGACTCAGCCCTACGGAGCTGACCGACATGAAAAAACAAATCGAGTATCTCCTAGCCAAAGGACTCATCCGGCCATCCACTTCGCCGTACGGAGCCCCAGTACTCTTCACACTGAAACCGGACGGAAGCCTGCGCATGTGCATCGACTACCGAGCTCTTAACAAGCAGACCATCAAGAATAAATATCCGATACCGCGAATCGATGACCTGCTTGACCAGCTTCGGGGAGCTACGGTATTTTCCAAACTGGATCTGCAGTCCGGATACTGGCAGATACGCATGGCGGACAACTCTATCCACAAAACTGCTTTCCGAACTCGGTATGGATCGTACGAGTATTTGGTAATGCCATTCGGACTCACCAACGCACCGGCAACGTTCCAAGCCGAAATGAACCACATTCTACGACCACTTTTGGATGAGTGCGTGGTGGTGTACCTGGACGACATACTCATCTACTCGCGCGACATGAAGCAGCACGTCGAACACCTGCGACGCGTCTTTGAAATTCTTCGACGAGAAGGATTCTACGTCAAACTGTCCAAGAGCAAATTCGCCCTTGAAAAGGTCCAGTTCCCAGGACACATGGTGAGCGCTCAAGGAGTTCACGTCGACCCCAAGAAAATCGAAGCCGTACGCACGTGGAAGACACCCGAGAACGTGAAGGAGTTGCAGCAGTTCCTAGGCTTCGCTAATTACTACAACAGGTTCGTGTCACAGTATGCGAAAATCGCAGCACCACTCACGAATCTGCTAAAGAAGAACACGCCCTACGAATGGGAGCCAAAGCACCAGGAAGCCGTGGAGCAGCTGAAGCAAGCAGTTACGTCCGCACCGGTACTCATTTTGCCAGATCCCGAACGCGACTACGTCATCGAAGCTGACGCCAGTGACCAATCAGTGGGAGCATTCTTGATGCAAGATCAAGGGAATGGACTGCAACCAATCGCTTGCCTAAGTAAGAAACTACACGGGGCAGAAGTAAACTACCCGATACACGACAAGGAGGCCCTGGCTATCATCATCGCCTTCAAAACGTGGAGATGCTATCTCGAAGGACGAAGAACAACCGTCTACACTGACCACTGCAGCTTGAAATACTTGAAGACACAACCCAACCTTTCCAGGCGGCAGGTCCGGTGGATCGACTTCCTCGAGACACACTTCCACTACGACATCGTGTACAAGCCCGGTCACAAGAACAAAGCAGACGCTCTCAGCCGGCCGGCACACGTTGCCGCTATTCAGGTCGAAGGGATGAATCCACTACTCAAGGGATTCTTCACACACGGGTACGCCACCGACCCCGAAATTCCCTTGGCAGAAAAGCGACATCTGCTACAATGGGACAATGACATCGCGTACCGGACAGGATCAACGAAAATCTGGGTACCCAATTACCCTCCTTTGCGCCAGTTACTACTCGAAGAATACCACGACGTCCTCTACGCCGGACACTTCGGTAGCAACAAGACGCTCACTGGTATCGCAAAGCACTACTACTGGCCCCACTTAGCAGAAGATGTCCAGAAATTCGTCACCTCGTGTGATACATGTCAGCGGATGAAGAGTACCAAGCAGAACAAGGCGGGACTAGTGCAGCCTCTTCCTGTCCCAGAACAACCATGGCAAGTGGTCAGCCTGGACTTCATCACCGGGTTACCACCTACAACCAGCGGTCATGACGCAATCCTCGTCGTCATTGACAAGTTCTCCAAAATGGGACACTTCATCCCGACACACACAACAGCACGCACCGATGAAACCGCACAACTCTTCGTTCGATACATCATCTCACAGCATGGCATTCCAGCCACACTCATCTCCGACCGAGACCCTAAGTTCACCAGCAAGTTGTGGAAGGAACTTATGTCTCTCCTCGGGACCAAACTCGCCATGTCATCTGCTTACCATCCGTAGACAGACGGACAGACCGAGCGCCTCAACCAAATTGTTGAGCAACTCCTCCGAGCTGCCTGCAAGGACGAGATCTCCAAATGGGACTTGCACCTGCCCGTAATGAGATCTCCACTATCCCTCTACTGTCCCACACTGTCTCTCCACTCTCCCACACTATCTCTCTACTATCTCTCTACTGTCCCACACTATCTCTCCACTCTCCCACACTATCTCTCAACTCTCCCACACTATCTCTCGACTCTTCCACACTATCTCTCCAGTATATCTCTACTCTCCCACACTATCTCTCCACTCTCCCACACTAGCTGTCCACACTCCCACACTATCTCTCCACTCTCACACACTATCTCTTCACTCGCTCCACTATCTCATCACTGTCCCACACTATCTCTCCACTCTCCAACACTATCTCTCCACTCTCCCACACTATCTCTCCACTCTCCCACACTATCTCTCCACTCTCCCACACTATCTCTCCACTCTCCCACACTATCTCTCCACTCTCCTTACACTATCTCTCCACTATCACTCTGCTGTCCCACACCATCTTTCCACTCCCCCACACTAACTCTCCACTCTTCCACACTATCTCTCCAATATCCCACACTATCTCTTCACTCTCACACACTATCTCTCCACCCTCTCCACAATCTCTCTACTATCCCACACTATCTCTCCACTCTCCCACACTATCTCTCCACTCTCTCCACTATCTCTCCACTCTCCCACACTATCTCTCCACTCTCCCACACTACCTCTCCACTCTCCCAAACTATCTCTCCTCTCCTCTACACTCTCTCTCCACTCTCCCACACTATCTCTCTGCTCTCTCACACTATCTCTCCACTCTCCCATACTATATCTCCACTCTCCCACACTATCTCTCCACTATCTCTCAACTTTGTCATACCATCTCTCCACTCTTCCACACTATCTCTCCACTCTCACAAACTAACTCTCCACTCTCTCCACTATCTCTCCACTGTCCCACACTATCTCTCCACTCTCTCACACTATCTCTTGACACTCCCACACTAGCTCTCCAGAATCTCTCTACTGTCCCACACTATCTCTCCAATCTCCTACACTATCTATCCACTCTCCCACACTATCTCTCAACTCTTCCACACTCTCTCTCCACTCTCTCACTCTATCCCTCCACACTCCCACACTATCTCTCCACTAACACACACTATTTCTGCAATATCCCACACTATCTCTTCACTCTCACACACTATCTCTCCACCCTGTCCACAATCTCTCTACTGTCCCACACTATCTCTCCACTATATATCCACTCTCCCACACTATCTCTCCACTATCTCTCTACTGTCCCACACTATCTCTCCACTCTCCCACACTATCTCTCCACTCTCCCACAGTATCTCTCTACTGTCCCACACTATCTCTCCACTCTTCCACACTATCTCTCAACTCTCCCACACTATCTCTCGACTCTCCCACACTATCTCTCCAGTATATCTCCACTCTCCCACACTATCTCTCCACTCTCCCACACTATCTCTCCACTCTCCCACACTATCTCTCCACTCTCCCACACTATCTCTCCACTCTCCCAAACTATCTCTCCACACTCCCACACTATCTCTCCACTCTCACACACCTTCTCTTCACTCTCCCACACTATCTCTCCACTATCTTTCCACTCTCCCACAGAATCTCTCCACTCTCCTACACTATCTCTCCACTATCTCTCTACTGTCCCACACCATCTATCCACTCCCCCACACTATCTCTCCACTCTCCCACACCATCTCTCCACTCTCCCACACTATCTCTCCACTATCTCTCCACTCTCCCACACTCTCTCTCCACTCTTCCACACTATCTCTCCACTTTCCCACACTATCTCTCCACTATCTCTCCACTCTCCCACACTATCTCTCCACTCTCCTACACTATCTCTCCACTATCTCTCCACTCTCCAACACTATCTCTCCACTCTCCAGCACTATCTCTCCACTCTCGTAGCCTATCTCACCACTCTCCCACACTATCTCTCCACTCTCACACACTATCTCTCCACTCTCCCACACTATCTCTCCACTCTCCCACACTATCCCTCCACTGTCCCACACTATCCCTCCACTATCTCTCTACTGTCCCACACTACCTCTCCACTCTCCCACACTATCTCTCTACTCTCTCCACTATTTCACCACAGTCCCAAAGTATCTCTCCACTCTCCCACACTATCTCTCCACAATCTCTCCACTCTTTTACACCATCTCTCCACTCTCCCACACTACCTCTCCACTCTCACACACTATCTCTCCACTCTTCCACACTATCTCTCCACTCTCCCACACTATCTCTCCACCATCTCTCCACTCTATCACACTAGCTCTCCACTCTCCCACACTATGGCTCCACTCTCCCACACTATCCCTCCACTCTCACACACTATCTCTCCACTCTCCCACACTATCTCTCCTCTCTCACACACAATCTCTCCACTCTCCCACTCTCTCACCAATGTCCCACACTATCTCTCCACTCTCCCACACTATCACTCCACTCTCCCACACTATCTCTCCACTATCACTCCACTCCTTCACACTATCTCTTCACTCTCCCACACTATCTCTCCACTATCTCTCTACTGTCCCACACTATCTCTCCACTCTCCTACACTATCTCTCCACACTCCCACACTATCTCTCCACTCTCCCACACTATCTTTCCAATCTCCAACACAATCTCTCCACACTCCCACACTATCTCTCCACTCTCCCACACTATCTCTCTACTCTCCCACACTATCTCTCCACTCTCCCACACTATCTCTCCCCTCTCTCCAATTTCTCTCCGCTGTCCCACACTATCTCTCCACTCTCCCACACTATCGCTCAACTCTCCCACACTATCTCTCCACTATCTCTCTACTGTCCCACACTATCTCTCCACTCTCCCACATTATCTCTCCACTCTCCCAAGCTCTCTCCACTCTCTCCCCTATTTCACCACAGTCCCAAACTATCTCTCCACTCTCCCACACTATCTCTCCACTACCTCTCCACTCTTTCACACTATCTCTCCACTCTCCCACACTATCTCTCCACTCTCCCACACTATCTCTCCACTCTCCCACACTATCTCTCCGCTCTCCCACACTATCTCTCCACTCTTCCACACTATCTCTCAACTCTCACACACTATCTCTCCACTCTCCCACACTACCTCTCCACTCTCACACACTATCTCTCCACTCTCTCCACTCTCCCACACTATCACTCCACTCTCCAACACTATCTTTCCACTCTCCCACACTTCCTCTTCACTCTCCCACACTATCTCTCCACTATCTCCTTACTGTCCCACACTATCTCTCCAATCTCCTACACTATCTCTCCACTCTCCCACACTATCTCTCCACTCTCCCACACTATCTCTCCACTATCTCACCACTGTCCCACACTATCTCTCCACTATCTCTCCACTCTCCCACACTATCTCTCCACACTCCCACACTATCTCTCCACTCTCACACACTATCTCTCCACTCTCTCCACTCTCCCACACTATCACTCCACTCTCCAACACTATCTTTCCACTCTCCCACACTTCCTCTTAACTCTCCCACACTATCTCTCCACTATCTCCTTACTGTCCCACACTATCTCTCCAGTCTCCTACACTATCTCTCCACTCTCCCACACTATCTCTCCACTCTCCCACACTATCTCTCCACTCTCCCACACTATCTCTCCACTATCTCTCCTCTCTGTCACACTATCTCTCCACTCTCACACACTATCTCTCCACTCTCTCCACTCTCCCACACTATCACTCCACTCTCCCACACTATCTCTCCACTATCTCTTCACTCTTTCACACTATCTCTTCACTCTCCAACACTATCTTTCCACTCTCCCACACTTCCTCTTCACTCTCCCACACTATCTCTCCACTATCTCTTTACTGTCCCACACTATCTCTCCAGTCTCCTACACTATCTCTCCACTCTCCCACACTATCTCTCCACACTCCCACACTATCTCTCCACTCTCCCACACTATCTCTCCACTCTCCCACACTATCTCTCCACACTCCCACACAATCTCTCCACTTTCTCCACCATCTCTCCACTCGTTGACACTATCTCTCCACTCTCCAACACTATCTCTCCACTCTCCCGCACTATCTCTCCATTATCTCTCCACTCTCACAAACTATCTTTCCACTCTCTCCACTGTCCAACACTATCTCTCTACACTCCCACACTATCTCTCCACTCTTACACAATATCTCTCCACTCTCTCCACTATCTCTCCACTGTCCCACACTCTATCCACTCCTTCACACTATCTCTCCACTCTCCCACACTATCTCTCAACTCTCACACACTATCTCTCCACTCTCTCCACTATCTCTCCATTGTCCCACACTATCTCTCCACTCTCCCACACTATCTCTCCACACTCCCACACTATCTCTCCACTCTCACACACTATCTCTTCACTCTCTCCACTCTCTCACCACTATCCCACACTATCTCTCCACACTCCCACACGATCTCTCCACTCTCCCACACTATCTCTCCACTCTCCCACACTATCTCTCCATTCTCCCACACTATCTCTCCCCTCTCTCCACTATCTCTCCGCTGTCCCACACTATCTCTCCACTCTCCCACACTATCGCTCAACTCTCCCACACTATCTCTCCACTATATCTCTACTGTCCCACACTATCTCTCCACTCTCCCACACTATCTCTCCACTCTCCCACACTATCTCTCCACTCTCTCCCCTATTTCACCACACTCCCAAACTATCTCTCCACTCTCCGACACTATCTCTCCACTACCTCTCCACTCTTTCACACTATCTCTCCACTCTCCCACACTATCTCTCCACTCTCCCACACTATCTCTCCACTCTCCCACACTATCTCTCCACTCTCCCACACTATCTCTCCACTCTTCCACACTATCTCTCCACTCTCACACACTATCTCTCCACTCTCTTACACTACCTCTCCACTCTCCCACACTATCCTTCCATTATATCTCCA